CCCAATTATCAGGAGGGGTTGCGTCGTATGCGTGACTTTGGCAGCACCTTGGGCATACCGTTGCATGTCTTTGGCCCCGAGACCCACATGACCGCCATTTGTGGCATGGCGCTGGGCAAACGACCCATTCCACAGGTGGCCAGCGTTGAGTTCTCCACGGCGAATTTTCTGCTGCCTGGCGGACAGCAGGCGCAAGCCGATCTAAAGGAAGCCAATGAGGCCGCTGGCCTTGGCTCTGGTATGTGGAAATCCAGAATCACAGAATGTGTAAACATCCCGGTCCCTTCCGAACTACCATCCTATAATCCAAACTATTCTCAATTCTGTTGTAGCTCTTATTATACTGTGTGTCTTGTGTATTTATTTTTGTTTTGGACCTGCATTTATTATTCTGTTTTCTTTGTATTTCTTTTGTATGTTTTTGCATTGATCGCCCTCTGCTCCAACCAACAACAAATCAACAACCACACCCACAAAAAAAAAACCAAAAAACCATAAAAAAAAAACCAACTAAAACCAATTTTGTGAAACGTTCCGTTTGGCCACAATCGCACCTCGTCCTCGAATTGTATTTGCATTTCCTCGCACCACCTCGTCGTCCTCGTAATTTAATCTTGTATTGAATGTTGTCTATATGTATATATGTATGTCAAATTCTATACTCTCTCGACTATATTGCTCGCTCTCGCTCATCATCATAATAATGTCAATATCAATGTATCAATGATATCGATAACGATCGACTTGCCACTCATTTGGGGATACTTCAAACTAAACCAAAGCCTTGCGCTCGACAACAGCACAATCGATTAAACTACCACCTATCTCAGCAGATGAGAGCGATGGCTCCGCCACCACTAATCACCAGCAGGGCCAGAGTAACGGAGCGAACTCTAGTTTCAATAGAAAGTTCTTCTCCAACACAACCAAAGCGATTGTCTGGGGCATGCAGCAGCGTGCAGTACAATCGATGCTCGACTTTGATTTCATATGCAGGCAAGTTCAATGAATCCCCAACTACAAAACAATCGTTCTCTAGCTTTTGTTAATCCTTTATCCCGATGCAGGCGCGATGAGCCGTCGGTGGTGGCCATGGTGTACCCCTTTACGGGCGATCACAAGCAGAAGTACTACTGGGGCCACAAAGAGATTCTGATACCCGTTTACAAGAAGATGTCCGATGCCATACACAAGCACAAGGAGGTCGACGTGATGGTCAACTTTGCCTCGCTTCGGTCGGCTTATGATTCAACGTTGGAGGTACTCGAGTTCCCGCAGATACGCACAGTGGCCATCATTGCTGAGGGCATACCGGAGAATATGACACGCAAACTGATCGTGGAAGCCAACAAGAAGGGTGTAGCCATCATTGGACCCGCCACAGTGGGTGGCGTGAAACCGGGCTGCTTCAAGATTGGCAACACAGGTGGCATGCTGGATAATATCCTACACTCGAAACTCTATCGGCCAGGCAGTGTGGCGTACGTCTCCCGTTCGGGCGGTATGTCCAATGAGCTAAACAATATCATCTCGAAGGCAACGGATGGCGTCATCGAAGGCATTGCCATTGGCGGCGACAGATATCCCGGATCCACGTTCATGGATCACATACTCCGCTATCAGTCCGATCCAGAGACAAAGCTCCTAGTGCTGCTGGGCGAGGTAGGCGGCACCGAGGAATACGATGTGTGCGCTGCCATCAAGGATGGGCGCATTACAAAGCCGTTGGTGGCCTGGTGCATTGGCACCTGCGCCAGCATGTTCACCTCGGAGGTGCAGTTTGGTCATGCTGGCTCCTGTGCGAACTCGGATCGCGAAACAGCCACAGCAAAGAACAAGGCGCTTCGGGAAGCTGGCGCCTATGTGCCGGACTCCTTTGATACGCTGGGCGAGCTTATACATCATGTGTACGGCGAGCTGGTGAAGACCGGACGTATTGTGCCACGCGAAGAGGTGCCGCCACCAACGGTGCCCATGGACTACTCCTGGGCACGCGAGCTGGGCCTCATTCGCAAGCCGGCTTCATTTATGACCTCAATTTGTGATGAGCGTGGCCAGGAGCTGATCTATGCGGGCATGCCGATCAGTGAAGTGCTCAACAAAGACGTTGGCATTGGAGGCGTCATTTCGCTGCTTTGGTTCCAGCGCTGTCTGCCTCCCTACGTGTGCAAGTTCTTTGAGATGTGCCTCATGGTCACGGCTGATCATGGACCGGCTGTCTCAGGTGCTCACAACACTATTGTGTGCGCGCGAGCTGGCAAGGACCTGGTCTCCTCCGTCGTTAGCGGTCTGCTGACAATTGTAAGTTCTCGGGAACAAAATTTTCTAGAGGACTGTGTCTTCATCAAATCATTTACATTCGCAGGGCGATCGTTTTGGCGGCGCACTCGATGGCTCGGCTAGGCAATTCTCAGAGGCCTACGACACCAATTTGCACCCGATGGAGTTCGTCAACAAGATGCGCAAGGAGGGTAAACTTATTTTGGGCATTGGACATCGCGTCAAGTCCATTAACAATCCCGATGTGCGTGTCAAGATCATCAAGGAATTCGTCCTGGAGAACTTCCCGCAGTGTCCGCTGCTCAAGTACGCATTGGAAGTGGAGAAGATCACAACCAATAAGAAACCAAATTTAATTCTGAATGTGGACGGTGTAATTGCCACCGCCTTCGTTGACATGCTGCGAAACAGTGGCTCATTCACCAGGTGAGGAAGCACGCACACAATATTTGAAATGTTTTATTGAAACATTTCCTTTATTTTGTATTCATTGCAGCGAGGAGGCGCAGGAGTACATCAATGTGGGTGCAATTAATTCACTGTTTGTGCTTGGCCGCAGCATAGGATTTATTGGACACTACATGGATCAGAAGCGACTCAAGCAGGGACTCTACCGTCATCCATGGGACGACATCTCCTATGTCATACCCGAGCAATACAACTAAGAGCTTGTCCATTGATATTATAAATTGTTGGATGTTGTTGTAGTTAAGCACAGATGTTAACCAACTGCTAGTGGCGAGCATGGCTGACCGTATGGTCCACAATCACAGAACACTCCATTAGCTGTGTAGTTGAATATCAGTTTACCTATATATATATATACACACTTATATATATATGTATAGAATTGGCTCAGCTCTTACCCTAGTTTGTCTCCCACAATTGAACCCAGTTTCTCTCTATCTATCTCTTAGTTAAATACAATACATATATGTTTACAGTTTCATAACTAAGCCTGCATTTACATTCATACTCTTTACCAGCATAAAGTTATTAAGTTACGATCATTTTTGTAGTTGACGCTCCTCTCTAAGCTAAAGCCGGGTTTTTGGAAACTAACTAATTAATAGAAAGAAAACATATATAAATCTAACAAAACAAAAAAAATTAGTGAAATCTTGAGTCGCAAAACAACGACAATTATCATTATTATTTGATATTTTTTTATAATTATTTTAGTTTGGATGCGAACTGGTTTAGTCAACATTGAATAAACTTGCGAAATGCTTAATTAATAGTTTCGTTGATTATTGTTTCATTTTGGTTAACTTTTACCATGCTCGCTGATGCTGAGATGTGAAAAACTGCACTAATTAGAACTGCACCAGTTCCTGCACTCAAAATGCACATTTATTTATAACTAATTAATATATATACACAAATAGTATATGTTATATATATTTATGAAGCACGGCTGTCTGGTGTGAACATTCGAAAATGTTTCGTTTAAATCGAAACTGTGATTTCCTTCAGAAAGGTTTTTAGGAATTATCAAAAATATTGCTTTCCCTTTTTCAAAGAATTATAAACGGATCGAGAAAGGCATATATATAAGGTATATATGTGTATATGTAGTTTTTGTTCACTCGGGCACATTATAATTAAAGCGCACAAAAAGTCACTCAAACTGAAACAATTGCATTTTCTTTTGACTAGAGACATTTTGTCTCGATTTAATATGAAACGAAAAAAAAAACAAATTTGGAATACCTGCACCTTGGCCTCTACTCAATGACCAAGTTAACTAAGCGTAAAATCTCATTTAAAAAGTATATGTAACTTGCTAAGCAGCCTCACTAGAGAGTAGATAACTCAAACCGATTTTATCTCATGCGACGCATTTTACGATCTAATTTACGTTGCTTTTTCTCATCCACCTCGGGCTGTTCCTCGGCGGCATTGCGCTGCGATAGCCAGGGCTGTATAACACTGCCCCAGAGCATCCAAATGGCGCGTATGGGCGCCAACAGCAGCACCAACCAGAAGTAGTTGGATATTAAAGCCAATAGAAGCGTGCCAGAGGTGAGTATGATCAGATCCTTGACATTTCTGAAATGTAAAATCGGAATAGATGCTAACAGGTGGTGGCAAAATGGTAGTCAAGCTAATACATACTCTGCAATGCCACCTTCCATATTCAAGTCATTGCCAGAGTCCAAAAGTGCACCGGTCTCCGAGTACTTTGCCCGTGACATAAATGCCATGAACTGGTAAGCGGCTCCCAGGGTAAGCAGCGATAGAGCCAGCATGAACTACAATCATTTTAGGTAGTGCATTAATCGTTTCTGTGGAGGACTCGATTCCCATTCAGCTTACCACTGTCAGCTTTGTGATTTCGAAGACCAGAAAACTGAGCAACACAGCGGGTACGGCGCATCCAATGGCCATGTTCCTATAGAAAGCCAATGTTGTTTTGTTCTCTTCGACGATTTGTTTTGCGCCCTTGGTGCCCTGCTTACCCTTCGGTTGTGGCTGCATATTCGAATTGGAGAATAATTTATAATAAAGGGCAACTACATTTAAATACTTACTGCCATTTTTAATTGAACTATTTCACTATTTCTTAATACAAATTAAGTGCACGTAAAAGACGTGGCATAAACTTATCACTCTGCTATCGATATCGTTCGTTATGAAATCGATAGGCTTGTATGTAAATGTAAACAAGAATGGGACCAGAGCTTCTCGATGGTAATTTTCGAACTGTGGCAGCACCGAAGCGCATTCCTCGTACTATTGCACCTTGGACTTTATATCAATCGGAGTTTAATTTAGTTAAAGAAAACAAACATGGAAAAGTGGGTGCAGCTAAATAATCAGGCAGCCGGCAGGGATAAAATTGCTCGGCTCATCCAGTATGCGTCGCGTGCCATGTGGGACTCACTGGAGTCCTCCAATTGCCATCCGGCGTTGGTGGACAACTTCAAGACAATCGAGTATATCTTGAGCACATTCCGAAAATGTAAGTTGTATAATTTTCTTTTGGAAGATGTTTATTGACATCTTTTTCTGCAGTGCTGCGCTTTGGCAAGGGCTTGGATGTGTTCTATGCTAGCTTACGTGCCATTCACTATCCAGATCTGACGATTCGGGTCACGCTGACAATGAGCAAGATTTCACAGGCTTTGTTCCTGCTAGCGGATCATTTGCTTTGGCTTGCTCGCACAGGCTTAACAGCCGTCGATCCCAAGAAATGGTCAAAGATCGCCAATAAGTATTGGCTGTTCTCCATTGTTATGAATTTATGCCGAGACTTATACGAGATAATGCGAGTCTTGGATCTGCACAAAGCCAGCTGCAGCAGTGGCATCTCACGCTGCAAGATTCCAAGCCGGATCAACACACCGGCGGACTTCAAGAGATTGGCTCTAAATTCATATGGCCTAATGCTGGGCCACAAAGATATCGTTGTGGATACGGTGAAGAATGTGTGCGATTTCTTTATACCTCTGACGGCTTTGGGTTACACAAGTCTGACCCCGAGGACCATTGGCATCTTAGGTGCAATTTCTTCAATGGCTGGCCTCTGGGCTTTGCTCGAGCCAGCTGCCAAACTGACGCCCGCATAAATTCGGTCAGCAGATGTATTTATTTATGTAATATGTGAATGTACTTGTGGCATAATTTGTTTGATATTTTGTACATACGATATTTATTAAGTTGACAATGGAAGATTTTATTGAAACGATTTTGATGTTATATAAGTGTACCTAAACAAAAAACTAAAGTTCAATTAAATATGTAACTGTAACGACCTATAATTTTAGGGTATTTCGTCTTCTAACAATGCTGCGTTTATTTTGCATTTATTTACACGTTGACCAACACTATCAGTATATCGACACTTTTTGCTGCAACAGCTGTTCAGCGGAATTTTCTTTACCAAGTTTGTTAATAAACTTCGTGGGGACCGTGGCGTTATCTAGAAATTGAAAATCGATGTGTCATTGCTCAGTGGCCCAGTGAAAGTGTGTGCGGGCTGTTAACGGCATTAAGCAGTTTTTGTGCGTGCCCGTCCATTTGCCGCCGAAATGCACTACTCGTATTCCTCGCTGTCCACCGGCGCTGGCGTCGATCAGCACAATCGCTGCCTCGGGAACAGGGCCTGGTGTGTCAAGGTAGGTGCTGCAACTCCTTGATCGCTTGATTGCATAACTAATAATCTGCTTGCAGGATATTTGCGGCATTGTGTGCGTGATAATGACCTGGCTGCTCATACTGTTTGCGGAGTTTGTGGTGTGTGGCCTGATACTGTTGCCCAACTACGACAACAATACGGTATTCAGTAGCGTCAATATGATAATATTCCAAGCGCTGGCATTCCTGGCATTCGTTTCCCACTTGCGCACAATGCTCTCCGATCCGGTAAGTCATCGAATTTACGCTCTATGCTTGTATATCAATTACTCAAGTTAACTGTGCTGCAGGGCGCTGTACCTAGGGGAAATGCCACCAAGGAGATGATCGAGCAGATGGGGTATCGAGAGGGCCAGATGTTCTACAAGTGTCCCAAGTGCTGCAGTATTAAGCCGGATCGTGCGCATCATTGCTCCGTCTGCCAGCGCTGTATACGTAAGATGGATCACCACTGTCCCTGGGTCAACAACTGCGTTGGCGAGAACAATCAAAAGTATTTTGTACTCTTTACGGTGCGTGAGCAGCAGCGCTCTTCTTTCTGTGACTAAGATTTATGGTGTGCGTTGGTTTTCTCTTTACAGTTTTATATAGCATCGATATCGGTGCACACGCTCTTTCTGGTGATGACACAGTTTGCCGAGTGCGTGAAGAGCGATTGGCGCACCTGCTCTCCGTACTCTCCACCGGCAACCATATTTCTGATGCTCTTTCTCACGTTCGAGGGCCTGATGTTTGGCATATTCACGATTATAATGCTGGCCACGCAGCTGAATGCTATACTAAACGATCAAACGGTGCGCATAACTCTATAAATATCCCAATTTAAGTACTTCAATTGTTTATTTACCTTTGCAGGGCATTGAGCAACTGAAGAAGGAAGAGGCGCGTTGGGCCAAGAAGTCGCGCCTTAAGAGCATACAATCCGTATTTGGTCGCTTCTCGCTAGCCTGGTTCTCGCCTTTTACGGAACCATCCTGTCGCCACAAATTCAACTCGCATTTCTACTCGGTGTGAGTTGTGGCTTCCATTAGGACCAAGCTCATGTTTCTTAGCTTAAACGATCAATCTGAATGTACAAGTCCCGCTGCCCACTTGTTGATCTTTGCAGTGCGAAATCAATGATCAAAATCAATCGATTTGATGTGTTTGGGTATATATAGAGATACATACATAAATATATTTACTTAAGCCTAACATAATACGGACGATAATGTCGCCTTTCAGCAACATGCAATATACTTACTAATTAATAACTAACTATTTAATTGAATGCAAGAGAATTTTACTTTGTAACGGGAGAACGGAGAGGAGTCTATTTATTTTGTATAAAGAAAATAAACGTTTCCAATGAGAAACAAGCGAAACATGCGCAAACCTTTTCACTTTTCTAGTTTCAGGTGCGCCGCTCGTCTCTTACGAAAATCCATGCATATAAAAATACATAAATATACATATGTACGTATATATCGAAAGAAAGTGCGCTCTCAAAAGAGATCCGAGAGATTCTCCCGACAGCAGCCGTAGCAACAAACAGCAGCAGCATTCGGCATGGACTTTTGCAGATGCTGCGGCGTTCGTTTAGTCTGAGAAAAACGATCGGAGATCCAGGAGGTGTCTGCTGGACGTGGTATGTGCGCGCTCCCTCGACAACGACTTCTATATATTATTTATATATAGAAACAACATTTTTCTTCACCAAATGTGTCAATTATGTGAGTGTGTGTGTGTGTGTGTATGTGCGTGTGCTTTTCTGTGTATACGTGCCCATTGGAAGTGGTAGCAAATGTTCGCTGCATTTCAAATTCAATGTGAAAAGTGCAAAAAGGCTACAGATAAATATTTAGCCAACCTTTAAGTGTTCAAATAATAAATTTCATAAATTTTTGTGAATATTCTTTTAGCCAAGAGAAAAGCTTAAATATCTTTGACAACATCGCTGTCTCCATGTATTTAAATATATATATGCATATATGTGCACGACGTTCTAAATATATATAGGAAAATAGAAAAAATATATACAAAAAATTAAAAAAAATAAAATTTGAAAAGAAAAGTAAAACAAATCGGTTTTAAGTATACGCGGCATTAAAAGCAAACAACAAATTGCACAGCAAGTGAAAAGTTTTCGGTTGGAAAAGTCCTGTTACACACATACACACACGGATTGCGTGCGTGTGTGTGAGTGCGTGTTTAAGTGCTTGTGCCAGTGAGTGCGGCCCATGTTAAGGTGGCCCTGTTTTTGTTAGCTAATTATATAGCTAGTCTGTCTAGCTAGAGCTAAAACATGGAAGGAACACCGGGAACAGCAGACGCTGCCGACGTCGTAGTAGGTAAGACCCAGACACGGGGCGGCTTTTCATGCCTCTGCATAGACAATAGATACCAAGTGTGTTGTGCACATACATACGTACATACATACATATGTATTTATGATCGCTTCGTTTGCGTCTTCGTCTGCTGGGCTCTGCGGCGGTTACGTAATGTGGAACTGAACAGATCTGAATTGAACTAAAATGAACTGTGCGAAATACGTTTCATAATTGTGCGCTAACTAAATAAGCACTCTAATTGCTTTTAATAATTATGTTTAATTAGCTGCGCTTCAAATTTTCTAAAGACATTTTCACGCACATACATACATACATATGTAGATGTGTGTATGCATATGTATTGATGGCAAGATGTATAGATATTTGTACATGCGAATATTTTAGTATAGTTTTTGTATGAATAATATTTTAAACTATTTTTAGTGCAAATCTTGCAGACAGTCGGCAAAATGGCAAACGGCTGCCCCGTTTCCCGTTGTCCGTTGTCGGTTGCCGGCGAAGATTTGCGCATTGCGATTTGCAAAAGAATATGAAATATATATTTTCATGTAGTTACATGCGTATATTTGTCTTTGTAGAATCTGAAGTTATTCGAAAAGAGTTTATATTTAGAGTTGGAATGTGTTCGAAAGTAGGCTAGAGTGCAGCTACTCCAAAGTATGTCTAATAATAATTTCTTTAATATTTTACAAGGCGGTCAAGTGATTTTTTATCTAGTCATATCCATAATATAAGAGAAAACATTACAGTTCCACAATTCCGATTTTTAAAACAGAATGTAATCCTTACTATATACATATATACATATTTGACTGGAGAGCTGCTGAAAAGCACCAAAAATATTTAGCTGATATAAAAAAGGGATTTATGCTTCGAAATACCTGACTACATACACGTATACATGTATATGATTTTGCTCATTTAACTTATAATAACAATGTCTAAGAGTTGGACTGATTTTATAAAAGAAATTGTAGAATTAGAGATAGAAAATGTCTTTGAAAAAATCGAATATATATATTTATAAATACATAAATATATATAACTATGATGTGGGTTTATACAGTACGATGCGAATAAATTCTATGATTCATGAGCTAGAGCTAAATTCGTTTAGATTAAATCTACACTTATGAAAATATTAAGTATACAACTTTGACTTTTACAAACAAAAAAATATTGATACATTTTAGTAAGTAAGTTAAAGTAAATATAGATTAAAAATTAAGGATTAAAGAAAAAAAAAAGTTCGATTAAGAATCATGAACTAGACTTAGCAAATTATTAATTTTTTTTCTTACTGTTTGCTTGAATAGAAGCAAGATGCAAAGAAGAAACAAGATGAATTTATTGAGTACTTACTTTTGTTCTTAGCGAAGCTACAATATATAATAATATAAAGGGTTTGTGAACATAATATTTGAAGGAAAGTACAGAATTATTTGGAAGATAATAGTTTATGATGCAGTCATGTATTTAAATCTAGATTATAATAACGCAGTTCATAAAAATTACATTTTTTCTGAGGAGCAAATAGAATAATATGTTTTAGTATCAACATCTCATGTTTTCTTTGATCTTTCATTCAAGAACCTCCTGGTCAAAATACTGTGCCACTGCGAAAACCAAGGATAACGTTTAGCGACAACTCCAGTTCCCTAATACGCTGCATACCCAACGAACGTGCGACATTCTTTGTGAAAATCGACTGCGATGAGGAGGATGAAATGGAATTTTTGCCCTTCACATTTGAATGGTAAGTCAGACCCAATAAATTATTAAACATTTCTCTGTGAGTGTGTATGTATGTGTGGCTGTGCAGTATGCTTGTGATTCACCGGCTGTGTGCATAATGCCAACAAGTTTGCGCACTTACACATATGATTTCTCCTTCACGCTTGCTCAACAAGAACTGCCAAGAGATGCCAGATGCTCAATGTCCGATGCTCGCTGCCCGGGTCAACGGCGACTGCGCCCAGAGTCGCAAAAAAGACGCACTCTGCTCTCTGCTTGTGTCGCCTCTCCTTGATGCTCTTCCTCTGAACTGTCGCAGCAGCTGTGTTCGTTCTCTGGCCAATTCGTCTCTTGGGCAACGGCAGACCAGAGCAGAGCAGAGCGGAGCCGGCTGCTCGCCAGTTCCACTTTGACGATCGGCGCATTAACATATCCGTTGCCCAGCAGCATTTTTTAAAATTTTGTCTATAGCTGCGTATATGTGTATATAAGTAGGTGTGCGTGAGTGCGTGTACAACGCTGCGTATACTTGATCAAGTATACGAAATCAATCAAAACTACATATGAGACAGTGCATTAAGGAGATATGAGTTTCAAAAATGTAGTGCAGGCAGAACAAAAGCCTAAACACACACATTGTGTGTGTGTGTGTGTGTGTCGGTGTGTTTGTGTGTGTCCCTCGTAATGGTGGCGATCTGCTAAATTTAGCTGCATTAACAAATGCGAGCGCGTGAAAAATATTTTGAAAATGCTGTAAAGCTTTGTGTTGTGGCGTCAGTGGTGCTTCAATGCCCAAAAAGTGTTCAAAATTGATTTTCCCTTCAATTTTGTTGTTAGGGAAATTGCTGTCCGATGATTACATAATCAATTTGAAAAGATTTTGCAATACCTGCGCGGGCCAAACAAACAACAAACAACAACGACAACAACAACAACAAATGTTGCCAAAAAGGCGCAAGAAACAAACGAAACATTTCAGTTTCTCGATTCTAAGCGTTAACTTAACTCAATTCTATCGGCGAGACACAGAGAACACAGAATTATTAGCAAATTCGAAAATGAAATGTGTGGCATCCGTGAGATACGTGTCCCAAAATAAATTCTACAAACAAAAGAAAACAAATTTTCATTTTGTGTTTTTCTGCTTTTTCCTTTATAGTGTCTAACAATTCTGTTGTGTGTGTGTGTGTGTGTATGCGTGAGTGAGTGTGTGTAAATACAAAATACAATTAATATAGTCGAGTAGGTGCATTTATTTATAAACATTCTTGTTTTCGATTGAAATATTTTCGTCATTTTTCTTCTTTTCTAAATTGGTTTAGGTATTTTTTCTCTTTTGCTCTTTGTTGTTTTGTTTATTTGTTAATAATCATAATAATGCCAGAAAGAAAATTAATGGCGAACAGCTACAAAAAAATGCAAGCACGTGCCTAAATTCATTAATATCCATCTCTAGAAAAGTATTTAAAGACATTAAAAGTTAATCAAAGGAAATGATTTTTTTTGTTTTTGTTTTTTTTTTTTTTAAAGATATATATTTATATATAGAAAAATATATATGGCTAAATATATTTTATCCTAAGCAGTCATCTCACAAATATTTAATGAGCATTTTATA